TTGGCATCTGTCCTCTTGCGAATCCTCATAAAGAGCTGTGCTGCAGGCCAGGGGCTCGCGGCTGGCTGCACATTGGCATCACCTGGGAGCTTAGAGATGCCCCACAGAGATGGTGCGGTCAGGGGTGGGGCTTGGGTATCGGTACTTTTCTAAAGTCCTCCAAGTGATGTCAATTGTGCAGCCTGGGCCCAGAGCCACTGGGTGCGTCAGGACCACCCAGAGGGCGTGTTGGACACAGATCGGGGCCCCAGCCCGGAGTTTCTGGTTCAGTAGGTCTGGGGTGGGCCCAGAAATCAACCCATTAACGCAGATGCTGTGGGTCCAGGGATGACACATTGAGAGCCACCGAGTCAGCGCCGTGCTGGCCCCATTTCGCAGGTGAGGCAATTTATGGAACAGAGAGGTGAAGTTGGGCCATGCTCAGGACACCCAGTTGGTACATGAGGACGTGGGCCTTTGAATCCTTTGGGTAAATTACTGCCCCCTGTGTGCTTTCACCTTCCTCACCTTTCAGTTGGGGAAAACAGTACTTACCCTCTAGGGGAGTCAGAGGTGTGCTGGGTTCTTCCATCAGGAACAGTGCCTGGCCCAGAGGAGGCGCTCATGTGGCAGTCTCGGCTGTTATTGTTACTGTTACCTGGAGGGATGAGTGGAAGAGCACCCGCTCTGAGCAGAAGGCCAGATGGCGGCTCCCCCTTCCTTTAGGCCCCCAGACACCTCCCTGGGATCGCCTGCTTCCCTGGCATCACTGTTCACCCGTGCGCCTCCCGCATCAGACTGTGAGCTCTCCAGGAGCAGGACCAGGCCTGACTCGGTCTGGAGCCTGGCGCCCTGCATGGAGGTGAAAGGGCGGTTGGCTGGGGCTGGTTCCCCCGTCTTAGGATCTTGCTGTTGTGAAGAATCAGGTGTTACAGATCTGGAGAGGGTTTAATATTTATCTCGCGCATGCACCCCGATGCCAGGCGCTGAACCCCAGCTTCTGCACGTGGCCTGCCTCCATGTGTTCATGCCCAGACACCTGCTGAGCTGTCGGCCACCTCGGTGGGCACCGCAGACACTGCCTCTGTGGCCTCCGGAGACCCCACTGCACCGGGGGTGTTGGACAGCATGCCTGATCGAGGCTCTCCTTTGCTTTCTACACTTGCCTGCATCTTTCTCCTGCATCTGTGTCCCCGAGTCCCTGATGTGAGTCACTAAGGAGGGTGAGCGCGGGGGTAGGGGGAGTGAGACTGGGGTGAGGGGGCTTCCCTCCACTCCCCCCTCCTCCATCGCTGCCCGCTGCCGTGCCCAGCTGCCACAGCTTCTCTCTTGTCCTGCACAGTCGTGTCCTAAGTGCCTTCCTGCACCTGTCCTCCTGGCGGCCAGAGTGATGCTGTAAGAACGCCGCTGGTCTCACTCTCCTGCCTGAAACCCTCCAGAGGCTTTGCAGTGGTCCGTGAATACAAATCAAGCCCGGCAGTTCCTCCTCTGAATACCCAGTTGCTCTGGGCCGGGCTGGGGCTCACGTGCTCCCCCTGTGCTGGGATGGCTTTTCCCGCCAGGCTCATGCCGGGCCCTCTGCCTCTCAGCTCCAAGTTACCAGGCCCCCAGCACCTCCTCGTTGCCATCGCACACCTGCCTTATTTTCTCCTGGGTACGCAGCACTGTCTAGGTTTTCCCCCGGATCTGTCTAGCTGCATGAGGACGGACGCTCCTCCCCAGCACAGGGAACTTGTCTGTCTCCCTCATCACTGTGTTCCTGGGGGTCCAGTAATGTTTGTGAGCTGAGAGATCCGGGGAATCACAGTGTCTCTGGATTTGGATTCAGAAAAGGGCTGAGTCAGTCCTGCTCGTCCGAATGCCTTGTGGCCTTATTAGGGCAGAGAGGCAGCCAGCCAGTTGTTCTGGAAAGAGCTCTGGTGAGGCACCATGGCCTCTGCATTCCAGACCTGGACCCTCTCCCCAGTTTGTTGGGACATTAACCAAATCACTAATGATGTGGCCTCGGTCTGAGCCTGGGGGTGATGTGTGTTCACATTACCTCCCTGCCTGGCTGAGCTCTCCAAGCCTCGGAGGGGTAACATGCACAGAGGGCAAGTAACCAGGGTGGGGTGGAAAGAGCGCCCCCTTGGGGCCAGAAAACGTGCCTGGAGTCTGGCCCCTGACTCTGGCCAGGTGACCTTGGGCAGTCATCACTCTGAGTCTGTTTCCGTGTCTGTAAGATGGGGACAGCCTGAGGGTGAGAGTTAAATATGATAACCTGCAACATCACCCACCCCAAGAGCAGAGGCCCCCATCTTCTTTTCTAGGACGCAGCCAGTCCCTAGGAAAGTGCCCAGCACATAGTAGGTGCTCGATGATGTGTCACTGTCAAGTTTTCTTGAGGACAGTACTTGGAGGCCTTCCTTTATTTAAAAACAAGACAAAACAAAACAAACAAACAACTGGAAGAGACCTTAGAGACTGTGCAGGCCCCTTCCCTTCACAGCCGGGGAGATGGAGGCTGAGCCAGCATCACGGGGCCTCTTGGTGAATTTGTGTCTAAGGCGGGACAGACCCAGCTCTCTTCTGACCGCCGTTTAGCGAGCACCTTCCCGCCAGCCACTGTCTGCCGTGTGTGTTGGTTTGCTCGTAAGCGTCTTTTTAGTGCCCGCCTGCCACTTTGTTTTGTCTCCCCTCCCTTCAGCCCTGCACTGACCCTGTTCTGTTCTTCTCTGCTCCCTGTGCTAGACCAGACGTTCCCACAGCTGCTGGCTCCCCCTTCTCTCCTGACCCTGGGCCTGAGCTGGAGATTTAGACTCTGACAGATTGGGAATTTACACCACGGAGGGGGCGAGGGCACATTCCAAGGTAGGAGACTTCATAGGTATCCAGCCAAGCCCCCACCCCCCACCCCAGCGCTGGGCAGAGGGCAAGCCCAGTCTGTTATTGGCTATGAATTCCCGGTGAGCCTGGGTGAGCAAGCAGAAGACAGGGTGCTGGGTGCTTCAACTCTTTGGGGGCCAGCGGGAAGCCCCACTGTCTGTCTTTCCCAAACGTTCGAGCCTTTGCTCCTTTGCCCCGTTAGGCTCTCTCACTCTGCTCTCTCTCTCTCTCTCTCTCTCTCTCTCCCTCTGGAGCAAAGAGACCCAACTGGGAGGTGAGTGTGACAGGGATGCTGAGCCTGAGGATTTTTTTAAAAAATTTATTTTAAAATTTAAATTAAAAATTTTTTTTTAAATTAAAAAAAATTTTTTCAATTTATATATTTTTTTAAAAAAATTATTTTAAAAAATTTTATTCATTTATTGTTGGCTGCATTGGGTCTTTGTTGCTGCGTGCGGGCTTTCTCTAGTTGCGGTGAGTGGCGGGTACTCTTCGTTGCGGTGCGTGGGCTTCTCATTGCGGTGACTTCTCTTGCTGCGGAGCACGGGCTCTAGGCACGCGGGCTTCAGTAGTTGTGGCACGCGGGCTCAGTAGCTGTGGCTCGCGGGCTCTAGAGCGCAGGCTCAGTAGTTGTGGCGCACGGGCTCAGTTGCTCCGCGACATGTGGGATCTTCTCGGACCAGGGCTCGAATGCGTGTCCCCTGCATTGGCACGTGGATCCTTAACCACTGCGCCACCACCAGGGAAGCCCGAGCCTGAGGATTTTTATCTAATGCGGGGGCCACTGGGGAAGGAGGAGGCGGGGTGGCCCCTGGCTGAGGATGCACAGCTACTCTGACCCTGGCCTTGCCTCGGAGAATCTCCTGCTCCTGTGTCTTCCCTGAGGCCAGTGCGGAGCACATGGTGGGTGCTCAATGAAGTTACATTGAAATCTACCTAAAGTAGGTTCATGACCTTGGGTGGGGACTCGGTGCGCTGAGCCTCTGTTTCCCCAGCTGTGCACCGTGGCCTGCCAGGCTCTGAATGGGACCTTGTCCCACACCCTCTCCTCACCCAGGCGTCTGTCCTTATGTTCAGGGGCTGCCCCCTTGGTGGCCCCCGGGGTTGGGACATAAAGCCACTGTCTGCAAGTCCTGAAGCCTAAGCCACAGGAGTGGCTGCACCCGTAGGTCATCTGGAAGCTGCCTTAGCGTCTTCGCAGGGCCCTCTGGCTGCCTAGAAGGTCTCCTCCTCAGCCTCAGGGGGCTAGGTCCTGTCTCCACTGTTACTCCTTCAGAGGCTCCTACCGGAGACCACCTCCCCACTTACGCTCTGGCTTCATTCTGGTTCTCTGGGGTGATTTTGTCCGTGAACGTGTCCACTTAGGTGTGGTCTTTCTCCCACATCAGACTCCCAGCAGTGGGAACAGGCACCTGGCTGTGTTTACCCCTGTGTCCCCACTGCCTGGAACTCGGCTGGCCCAGAGTAGGTGGTCAGTAAATACAAGAAGAAAGGGCGGAAGGAAGGCAAGAGGGCGGGAGAGGAGGGAAGGAGCAAGGAAGGGAGGACAGGGGTCTGTGGCCTGCGGCCCTGGAGGGTGGCGGCCTGCTCCAGGACCTCCGGCGCCTGGTTCCCGAGCGGCTGGCGCTCGCACGGGCGGGCACGGCGCCGGCCGGCAGGTGGCGGTGCGCCCTTGGCTGCGCGGGTGGCGGCGGCGGAGCGGCGAGTCCCCTCCTCCCGCCGGCTCCCTCCCCTCTCCGGCTCCTTTCTCTGCGCTCTCGCTCGCGCTCCCCAGCGCTTTCCGCTCTCCCGTCCGCGGTCTCC